TTTGTGCAAACTTACCGCTTCAGGCAGGTTGTGCAGGGCTCGAGGAGTTGGAGCCAGTCCATGGGCTTTAGGTACTTGGACACGGCGATAAACAGCCATCTCGTCTCCTCTCAGCATGTCGACTCCACTTACCAGCAGGCCCAGTAACACCTGTTCCTGCTGAGGTACATATCAGAAATGACATTTTAACATCTGTCCCAGAATCCCTCATTGAATCTGTGCTTGCTTTAATATGATGACCTCGCTTTCAAAGGCAAAACTTGAGAAGTTCATTAACTAAGTGAGCAAAATACCCATCATTATCCAACTACAAAAAGTCTAGTCACAATAAAGGGCACACTGATTACTCAGGAATTATCACGCCCACATCACAGCTCCTGCCATTCACTTCTATGTGGGATGGGAAGGAAAATTAGTTTTTAACTCTGAACATAATACTACCTATAATTGTTGCTCTCTCTACTTAAGTCCACAGACTGGTCCATGGTTTGCCTTCCATATGGTTGATCCTATTACAAATATCACCCAAACACATAATGGGGACAGAATAGAAAAGATAAATAGCAACAAAATTGACTTTTTAATCATTTTATTCATGAATATTGTTTAAAAATTAACAGTAGTTATGTGTTCGTGGTCAAATCAAATGTGCACACACTGCTCTACACGTATGGATTTTGTAAAGTATATGTTTTGATAATGAAAGAGATCAACATTCAGATGTTCAGAGAAACTGTGTTAACTGAGAGTGAAGAACAGTGGGCTAATGACGTGGACTAAATCAAAACTGTGTAGAGAATTAAGTTGTAATTCAGAGTTTAATATTAGGAATCCAGTTAAGAGCAATGATTTTACCATTCATTGTTAAAACTGGATGGCATTTCAGACTGGGAAACAAAAAAGACATTTGCTCAATGTTCCACCTTACCGATACAGTTTCCTTTTGTTTTCTATCGTCAGTTTTACTGGGAACCTTACTTTATTGAATAAGATCAGAACAAAAAATTATGAATGATACATCCATAATTATATATAAAAATGCCTCCAACTTTTTAGGCGTCGAGTGGTGCAGTGGGTTGAGCCGGCGCCCCGCATGTAGAGGCTACAGTCCCGCATCGGACGGCCCTTTACTGCATGTCATTCTCCCTTTCTTTGCCTCCCTATTTCCTGTCTCTCTACTATCCTGTGCAATAATGGTACAAAAGCCCAAAAAAATATACTTAAAAAAAAAATGCCTCCAACTTTGTAGCAATTCTTTCTATGAATTTGCAAACACAAGAAAAGGAGAGACTTGAATATCCAGCCATAGCTGGTGGTCTTCAATATAATACATATAATACATAGAGCCACAAGGCTACCAAAACAGGATGAAAAGCTGGGAAACACAGTGAATACCTTCCCTTGATTTGCAATATTAAAAACTACAGATAGCAACACTTGAAATCACTTGATTCCCTCCATTACAGCAGCTTCCTCTGATTATTTTCGCATCAAAATGCCATTTAAGTTGCAAAAGTGCTGTTTCTGTATAACCCCTTACAATCAGAGTGAGGGATAAGCAATCAGTTTGGGGGAGCATAAAGCAGACAGTGGCTTGTTAATTGGCTGTCAAGAAGTGGAACTGAAATAGCACTCCATTCATACGATGTGATGAAGAAGAGGAGAGTATGGATGTTGGGACTTGAAGTAGCAGTGTGGGGGTAAAGCTTTTGTGTGATGCACTTTGTTGGTCCTATGACTCATGCCTATTGTATAATAGTTTGAGAGACTTAGACAACAACAATATGTCTGACTTATTATCTCACATAACTTTAGAACTTATGGGAACCTGAAGGTTGTTGAATTCTACGGAAGATCATAAAAGTTATCAGCTATCAATCAAAAGTGATAAATGACACTTCCCATACTTGTTATTTCGGACCATAAAAAGAAGGAATAACTGAGACAGGTGCCACCAAAACAAACATCAAAATTCTGGGTTCAAAACCTGTCAGACTTAAGATGAAATGTAGAAAACAATTGTGGTAACACTCATTTTGACTCTATCTATGCTACTGTATGGGTTTTCCCTGGATAGCTACATACTGCAATGTAGTTAAATCACAAGACATGGGCATTAAAGTAAGGCAAGGCACGTAAAATCGTGATGGTAAGACCGACAGAAACTCACGAAGGAATATACTCCTCTCTTGACATTCTTTTTGACAATTACTTATGTAATACAATTGCTTGCCAGCTGGTGGTGGGAAGCAATTTGACAGTTTTATCACAACTTTTGGCAAAAGTAATTTACTTGGCTCAATCCTTTTGTGCTTCTGTGGGAAATAAATCATCCAAATAAAAAAATAAATAAATGGCACTCCACCACGATTTGACAGTTCAATGTCTTCCAACCCCAGCGCAAATTGTGCCGTCTTCACCTAGCATCGTAAAAGTTTGAGTTACCAGGGCTGTGTGCTGTGATCCATCATCTGCCTGGGGGACACTTTGTTGGTTGACTGCTGTTCATAGCACAGCTGGGACTATAAGAATTTAGCTGTTGAAAGCTTAGCTTCACAGAAAATGTGATTAGTTTAAAGAAAGTGGAAATAGAATGGTTTTACAGTTTATTTTACTATATTTAAAAGTCTACAGTAGGCTACATTGAGGTTTGATAATAATGTTTTGAAATACTGTATTTTGACAGATTCAAACTTAATCAGTGTGTCACAGGACAACCCTGGAAAACATACCAAAGTTGTGATAATGTAGGAAAGACGAACAGGAAATGAGTGGAAGATGGTTATTCATAATTTCAGCGAGATTTCTTTGAGTTTTATTTCCACTGGGAGAGGTGACAAATTTTTAAATATAATGCCTATTTTATTAGACATGAAAGCTCCTTTTGAGTTATTATATTAAAATGTGCTTCAGAGAGTTTTGTGTTACTGATGTAGGAACAGAAATATATTTTGAAGCTCACATAATTATCTTGGGTGCTATCACCCTTAACTCTCAAAGGACTACTAAATCTGCGCGCTATTATAGATTAAGGCTGCAGTCTGCATGCTCATTTCAGTGGGAATCGCTCATGTTTACTGATTGAAGATTAACCATAGATTCCATGAACATTTAAAACCCACACAACATCACAGATTTACTGAACCTACTCTATTGGTTGTAAAATATATTCACTTCAGGCCATCAACCACAATATTTCTGTGAGGAAGCACTGATACTCCAAGGATCGAGCTTGTTGATCATGTTGCAGCTGCTGCCGCGGTGGGAGTTGGCTTTGATGTAATATTGTGATATTTCATTTGATTATGCTGATTTGATTGTGCGAGGTCATCCATCCTTCCTGATGTCTCTAGACATCTTTCAAAAGCATTTTGCTTTATTGGCTTGCTCGTCTACCCGCCAGAATTTCAATGGTTGTTTGATGGTATTAATGCACCATTTGAATGCAGACCCTGAAGTTGTGGGGGGAGAAACCCATGCAGAGTGAGCATGCATGGAATCTGAAAGTCAGATGTCAGAGGAGTCAGTGGAGGGGAGGAATTTTCTCCAAATGCAGATACAACACTGGAGTAGAATATCAAATGTTCAAATCTCTCACACAGATTTTGGAGAGTGACTAAAAAAAGGGAGCTCTTCTCTTTCAAATAGCAGCAAACTTCCACTAACCCACTTCAAATTTTTCAAAAAGGGTTCTGCCAAGCTCATACCTCTTTGAGAATAAGCCAAGCATTTATGCACGCAAAAGAAGTGAATTGTGAACAGATGTGCTGCACACCTGTGACGAGGCTACAACAATTGTCATTCGTTTCCATTCAATGACAGCGGATTCAACATGGAACAGAAGAATCCATTATTCCAGGACCGATATGCCTAGAGCGAACCACCATTCAAATTATATAGTACATCTAGTCCAGCAAATCAAAAACATCAAGGCCAGAAATGAACATGGATTCATTATCATTAGCCACTATTGCTTGAGTAATCTCTATATTTAAATAATCAACACATTTATATGCTTCTTCTGTCTTTCAGATGGCAATCAGGATTGCTGCCAATGCAACAGTAATTAGCAATATCACAGAATTGGACATTTAATCAAAACAAAGTGCATCTAACATCAAATAATTCTTCCACTTTAAGAAAAATGCTGTCTGAAACTTGAAGAAAATGAAATGTGTCCAGTGAGTCATTGTTTGGGGAAATCAATTCATTTAGTCACACAGAGGTGCTAAGTTATTTATTGCCTGTCAGCATGAGCTGTTAGTTCAATTTAATTTCTAGCTGCAGAAAAGAACACAGACAATACAGAGGAAATTTGAAGAGAATTACTTTATTTACGCAAATAGGATGTGTTCTCAAGAAGAAATAAAAAGACATCAATGTTTTCAATACCTCTTTTCGTTATAGTTTTTCCCCTATGGTACCAGAGTGAAATGCACCTCAAATTTGAAAATACTGCAAACACTAAAACACATACATGACTGAAAGAACAAAATACATGAAAAAAAGGGAAAAAAAACCCTGTGAATATCAAGTCACAAACTGAAATGTGCACCAAAAGAAAGGGAGGGAAGTGATAGACCTCCTTTTGTCTTAGACACAGCAAATACAGTGAAGCTTTTCTAACTAGGTTAAAGGCTTCACTGTTTTACAAAAGAAAGAAAAATGTTGGATGAATAAAAAACAGGAAGACAACTTTGCCACTGAATCATACCTCTAATTTGGTGGGATTCAGTGGCAAAATTAAAGTCTTGGCGCCTGCCAAGCTGAATATCTGACAAGCTGAGTAACAACATCCAACAGTCTCAGCTTGCTGTCATTTATTAGAGTCCAGATGTACCCTCAGATGTAGCTGAGCTTTGAGCTAACGTCAATGCGCCAGTATACTTCAATTATCATGTTAAGTACATTCCACTACAGAATTTAAGTACAATTTTATTTTAATTTAATGGAGTATTTCCATATTATGCAACTTTGTATTTTTAGATTTTTTTTACTGTACTACATTTCAGAGAGAAATACTTTTTACCCAACTACATTTGTTTGACAATTATGTCAACAAGCTCTGAACACCCACGCAGTTGTTTTCAACCACTGTGTCTGATTATATCTCTAGTCAGGTGTAAGTTAGGTGGAGCTATGCTGGCAATTACTGTACATGATTCTAGCAAACTCTATGCACTAAGAATGATAATTGGGTAAGATGCCCCTGCCCCAATGGGTACAAATCAACAGCAGAAGCGTGAGGGAAATGTTAATCAACACAGCACTAATTAGGCAATATAAACGTAGGTGGACTACGGCTGTGCAGACCCTAAGATTATACATAAAAATTATATTTTTATCAAATATTATTTGCTCAGTCTCAAGAGGTACAACATTAAAGTCCTGTTTGTACTTGAATGCATCAATAACAAATCAAATACTGCATTCTGCATTACTACTTTTACTTTTGATACTTTCAGTAAATTTTTCTAATAATCATTAAGTACTTTTACATGGAGATTTTACTATGTTTGCATAAGTTAATCCTTCTTAAATACTTAAATACTACTGCGTACAACTACATGTTTTGTCAAGAACTAAAATGTTGGACAATTTGAAATAATACGTTGGTGGTGGAACTGGAAGAGAAGTAAGAGGATGAAATTATTAATTCTCTGTGGACTCTCTGGAATTCTAACAGGAATCAAAGTGGCCCAAAAAGTTGGACCAACAGACTCAAAGACAGACCAAAACTGACATCCCTATTCCTAGAGCCATGCTGTGAGAGTCTTTTTCGCTGTACATTTGTGCAATGTGCTTTCAAAGAGTTTCATGTTTGTGCCCCTGCTTTTTGAGGTTTGTAGCAAGTCTGGATTGGAGCGCATTCCTCCCAATGTTTGCATTTTGACTCCCGTATGCGTGTTGTTCTCAAGGGCCACTGCAACAATTACTGCATTTTAACTTCCCAATTATAGAGCACTCTTTAAGGAGCATATACAACAGTTGACATACAGTACACTAAATGCAGAATCACTTCTTTCTGCAGCACATTTTAGGGGATTCCATCTAGAAAACTTAACTTTGCAGATCAGCGATGATGATGTCTTACACGGAGGGGTGATTGCAGACAACTTTCTCAAGACCCATTTTGTATTTATCGCAATATAAAGTGCACTAAACCTATCAATTCCTTTCTACATCCAACATACACACAGTATGTGGCATATGAAGTCTTCCAGAACATCTAGCACATGAGAGGGGATTACATTGTGGTCAATGTTTCCTAAGCAGAACCCAAACCTCTTTGAGCTTTTACGAGATTGTTACATACTAAAAGTTAGACATAAAGTCAAGAAATCATTTTAGAGGAATACAGTATTTTTTTCAATCTTTAATGAGAGTTGCTAACTACCGGCTGGCTCACAACACTGAGGAAAATGACGAGCATGGCTATTAAACAGATGAACCGGTGCGTACAACTTTTTGCACAACTTTGTTTCTGACTTTGATAATAGCACCATTCATGGAAGCATCATACCTCAATATTTTAACAAGGTTCATCGGGTTCATTTGAATTCAAAAAGTACTCCCTCAACAAGTTTCATCTCACTTCCATCAATCCAATTTTCAGCCCACTCATTCTGAGGTCTGCTTTAAAAGCCATTTATCCGCTCATACTATAATAATAATTGGCATTCTAATAGCAGTAAAATTACACTGATAAATACTCGCTAATCACAGACACCACGAGCACTTTAGAATCGTTGCATCCCTTTTACTAAAGTGGACGTTTTCCCTCTTGAAATCATCAATGAGTACAAAGATACCTGCACATAAATGCATAAAGAAAGATGCATTTAACCCTCCCCACCCTCACTTTGCCCATGAAATAACCCTTTTAAATGCAAATACCCAGGAGGCAACTGGCTTCTTATCGTACGTTTCATTGTCTCTTTTGGGGAAGAGAGCTGTTTTGCTCTGCATCTGCATGTAATTGCACACACACAGCAACCTTACAGTTTACACTGGAACAAAGCAACTTCAGAATAAATTACAGCAAAAACACAATATTAGGTGAGAGTACGCTATTAGTTCTAGCTGCTGCATAGAGGTACACGAAGCAAAAATTAATTTAAAACTTACTCTCGTGAATAAAACTGGCAGATGTATGAGCGAGGGCAGCTGGTCTAATTATCTTAGATTCATTTTAGTTTTGGATTTCACTGTAGTTTGTCTGTAAGGCCACAAGAAGGGCTTTTGTTCCCTTTGCCAAACAGATATCCATTTTAGAGTAATCTATACCAACCATTTAGAAAATGCAAATATGAAAGAGACGGCAGGTATTACTATGCATGCTTCAGCGTGACAAGTGAAACAGGTGTTCAGTGAAGAAATACTGCAAGTGTCTAAATGACAGTACAACACTGCTGCCACCTGCTTTGGCTTGCCAAGCTCAGCCTACATACAAAATAACATATCGCACTGATGTGCTCACATCCTCTAACACTGGCTCAACGAGAATTTCTGCCATTGCAAAACCAATTTTTGCCCTAACTGAATAAATGAATTATTAAATAACATCATTACTAGGAAAACTTGACTTTCATGCTGCTCAAGACTATTTTTACTGTAATGGAGGCAAATAAATCATTTCTCTCTCTCTCCCCTTGGATTTATTACAGCAGAGTAATATTGCCATCTAGTGCCCAAGGGAAAAACTACATTTGATATTGTCTTTATGTTCAGCATTTCCCAGAAGACACTGAGAGTAGAGTAGGAGTAAAACAGGTCTTTATGTGTTTAATTTGGCATTAAACGGTCTGTAATATCATTCCAATATGGAGTAATCGAACAACATGGTTTGAATGTTACAATACAGAAAGTTTCAAAAAACAAAAAAAACTGAACTATGTTGTAAATTGTTCAAAAACCTAATTCACCATCTGTAAACCGAGTTCTTTCAAGTGTATAAAACCATTAAACCATGCAAAACATAACAATGAACCATGCTAAACGTTTTTCGCCACAGAGGGCTTTTTCCCATCACTTGCTTTCATCAGAGCCTTAATGGCCCTAGCCCTCATTTCCAACTCCAGAAGCTCCAGCTGTTGAATGGACGGCTGACAGGCTGCAGGTGCACGACTCGAAACAGGTCCACCCTGAACAGGTAAAGTGACATCTACAGACTGCGGTGGTGCACTCTCTTCTTTAGCTACCTCTTTACTTGAAGTGGATGAGAAGGCTAAAATCTCACTAACGCTTCTGTCTATGTCGCTTTGAATGTCTTTCTTTGCTTCCACTGGTTGAGAGCCCGTGGGAGGCTCGGGATCTGCTGGTTCACGGTTTAAAGCTGGGCAAGCGCTCTCCCCACTGCTGTCCCCTGGTTTCACTGCCCCGTCCGCGGCTTTAACAGTCTGCTCCTCTTTGGGTCCCTCTATGTCACTATCGTAAGTATCTGCATTTATACTTAGGACATCGCTCTCCTCGCCTGAGCCACCACCCTCTGTGATGAAAAATACACCAAGACAATTTAAATGTAAAATGGTCCTTTTATAGCATTTTTCTGTCTTTGAAGTCTCTGATTGAATGCCTGGGGGATGTTTTTCTGTGTACTACATATTAATTACCTTGCTTAGGGTCCTCAGTTTTTGCTGTTTCTTTGAGGCAAGATGTAGAGTCTACATTATTGTCTTGCCTTGATGGGAAAAAATAAAATAGAAACACATAATAATAAGTAGAAAAACACACTCTAATTGTGCCCTGAATAAGTTAGAAAACCATTCACTCACTGGCTTTCCAAGGTCTCCTTTGTGCGTTCATCCCCATTTCCAGATGTCAGCTCTTCCCCTAGAAACAATAAACAGCTTCAAGTGAATGAAAATGCTTTGTTTGCAGTACTGTATTGTTTTAAGCACAGACAGTCCAAAAAGCTGCTATGAAAATGTGCCAAACTGGTCTCATGTCTCACCTGCTAAGATCCGGATAAGATTTTTCTCTGATATTGGCTCCAGTTGCTCCCAACACAGCTTTTTGATTTCCTCTAAAATACAGTCCTGTGAATCATCAATCATCAAAGAAAATGGCAAAAGCCTTATTTCTCTCTCTTTACGAGATGTTATCAAGTTTTTATTCAAAGTTAAAACACTTTAACCTTATGTTTAAAGCTTTATTATACAGCTCCATAGCTAATTCATAGCTATAGATAAAAATCCTACAAGCGACTACTCACACTATATGTAAAATAACAGTAACATTAGCAATATTCTGTCTAAGTTTAAGCAAAGTTTTGAAGAACTGACTTCAATGAAGATAAATAGAAATGAAAAATAATAATAGTGGCTAATGAAAATATGATACATTTTTATAATAATTCATAATGTATGCCTACAACAAGATAGAACAAACCTTTCCAAGAAAAATGATCATTATTGCAAAAGCGCAGGTGTTGTTGGAACTTAGTGCAAAAATATGACCACGGTCACGTCAACATATGCCACTGCAAGAAATCAGCTCAATAAACCCACAAACTACTGCCTGTATAACTGCAGCATGACATTTCTGAAAGTTTGCGGGGAAATGATGTCGACCCATTTGCCAGACTGATTATGAAATGCCTCTGACCTTTAGTCGGCAAATGTTGTTTGATCACAAGCTGCATCATTTATTTATCAATGAAAAATATGGGTTTGACACAAGTGTGAGAACTTTTATACAACACTGATACAATGACATTCAATACTGACATATTCATTCAGCCTGCTGTATTCTCTTCGTATTAATATTCTGAGTTTACAACTATGTAACAGAAGTCCACATGTTCACAAAATCACCTTGAGTTCATCAGGCAGCATCTTCTGTAGCTTCTTCTCCCCCAGCACGTGGAAACACTGCTCTAGCATCTCCCGCTTGTCAGTGACATATGCAGTGATGGGTTGAAATGGCAGGCTGAGGTCCAATCCCCCCTCCTCAATGTCACTGCCAATCCTGTCCAGCTCTGGGTCAGCGAGTTCATCCTTGGAGTCCTGCTTTAGAAAACCAACAAGTTACTAAGACACAGTGTTTGGAGAAATTTTGTAAATTGTACCAATTAATTATTGTTATATAATTGTTATATAATATATATAATGTTGTTAAATGATTATTTGTATTCACACTGTTATCAAGAGTCCTGAAACCCTTAAATGCAACTTTGGCAAACTTAGTTTGGAAGGAAAAAAAGACATAATTAGCAACATATTGAAATGGAAAAAAATTGCAAATTGCACACCTATATATACATACATAATATAATCTGAAACCTTGAACAAATATTTCTCTGTGATTTAGAAAAGAACAATTTAAACATATGATTACCTAAGTTACTGTGATATCTTGCTTTCACAATTAATCAGATATTTTCACAATTAAACAAAAATTTACAAGAATTATGTTATACTTTACTGGCAAACAGTATCACTGACAAACGTTTCACTATAACTAAATGAGACACCAGAGACTACAGCCCCCAAAATGATCAATAAGTTAATACAACACCTGCCTAAATTAGTTTGAACTAAAACTGAACATTATTTGTTTAAAGGCTCTTGTAAATACATTAGCTTCACCTGAGTGTACTATAAAAAATATATATATAAAATGGCAGCTGGGTGTAGTTTATTGAATATTAGATTCGTGTTATAAGCCTTTGCAGCTAGCGCACACTCAGTCAATTCGCTGCAGTTTATTGGAAGCCTAAAGTTCACAGCTAAATACTATCAAAGAAGAAAACAGCAACCCTGATTTAAAAGTGTGACAATATACATATCAACTTCAACAAATATCCTCCCAAAACACCGAGCTAGCAACATGAACATGTACACGACTGGGAAAAAAATATCTTTCTTGCGTTTGGTGATAAGTTAGTCAAAAAACCACATGAATAGGTTAACTATTACATCAAGATATATACTCAATTTGCCTAATGTTAAGCGTAACATTCAAACGACATTGTTTTAAGAAACGACTTCTATATTCCGTATCCAACAGGCTGCTTATAAATATAGCTATATTTACTATACATGTATAAACAACACGATTAGCATGAAGCTAGCTTGATTATCTCACCTCCACATTGGTTTCTGTACTTCTGCGTTTATTGCTGTCATGTCGTTCCTCGGGCTGCGAGTATTTCCTTTTCTTTTCAGTACTACTTGACTTCTTTTTGAGCATTTTTAAAACAAACGAGGCACTTGTTATCCAGTCTCTCGTTTACTCACTTGCTAAAATTGAATGTCGCGGGAATATTGTGTCATTGGCGAGCGACGACTTCTTCGTTCGATGTCGACGGTAAACCTTTTTTTCGCTCCCGCCACCCGCTGGACTGGAGCGCCACTGCTCGTCATGTCTTTCATAAACCTACCAAGACAAAGGCTGAATTCTCAGATATATCTCATAGCAATATGTCGTATAAATACATGTAATTAATCAACATTGGTTTCCTTATTTATTTTACAGGTTTAACCATGTTGTTGTATCTTGTGACAAAATATACCGTAACAAAATTGTTGTAACATGTGGTCAAGGGTGCTTTAAGACATACAGGTCCAAACTAATAAGCAGATACTAAAATTAACATATAATTAGATTACACTGTTGCAACATCTTTTACACAGTCATTTTTAATTTAAAAAAAATCAAGTACAGTGTCAGCTATAGACTATAAGCATATGTTCATAATGAGTGCAGCCTATAAATTCTTACATCCTAACAAGTCACCTTCTAGCCACAGAAACAAAGCCTGTCAGTCTGATGCTACATTATATTCTGTGAATCTAACAGCTGCGCAACCGTCTGTATTTTGACTGAGCCTTTCTTTCACAGTGAGAGGTGCCATTCCTGTGACCTCTCAAGCTGCTGATGGAAGTGCAAATACATTCAAACTGTATCCCATCATCATTTTACACTTCAAAGCTTGCTCGGATTACCAGTGACGGTCAATCACAAGTCCTCTTCCTGTATTTCACACAAGTCTTGCCATCCTCCAGTTTCCCTCTGCCTCGCCATTTCATCAAATACTGTGGATCGGACTCATTACTGCAAAAAGCCTTCAAACCTTCAAAACTAGTGCTGCAGCTCATTTGCATCATTCAGGTTTTCACATTTTAAATCAGAGAGCACTGTCCTCATTGGTAATGTAAATTTGTTTCAAAGGAGTTTACAAAGGAATTTGGGGTAGCATAATTCTAACACATAGGCTACACTAATAATATCGTCTGTTGCTTTGGAGCATTATGCATGAAAAATATGTAAAAACAGTGCATTAACAGTGCAATTATGATGTTATCAAATACAAGTCTAGAACATTGTTTTCAAAAACAAATCCTGTCCCTAACACACAAACACTGCACTCAAGACTGAATTCGACCCATACACATAGAGCTTCACACTCTGAAATGAGCCTGAGGACAGACATGCATATCCCAAGGCATGTGCATTTTTTAACATCAAGTATTCATACAGTACATTCTCATAATCTATGGCTTTGTAGAAAGCACAATCCTCCCCTGCAAAAGTTCATTATCTTAACTTAAAGGGCGAGTTCACATTAACTTTCAAAGATCTCCCATGTGGAGCAGAATTACTTTCACCAATAAACAACTCTGCTGCTCTCTTCAGCATATCCTCCTGATTACCACCCAGGTAGCCATGCATTTTCTTTAGCTGGACCCAGACACAGGTTTCAAGGTGGTGACGACACAAGCAAGCTGTAAATCACTCTAATTGGCTTCTCCGCCTCTGCCTGAAACAAGGCGGGAGCCAATGCGATGGCTGCCCGGGCGCCATGGCGACAGCTGTCTCCACATAATGCAGGTTGTTATCCCGATGCCATCCGCCAAATTATGCAGCGGATATACTGGGAGGTGCGCATCGATCACAATCACGTCACAGTGTGTTTTCTTTGCAACATCTGCTCCCATGTGTCTGGATATCACCTCGTTAAAAGGGCAATGATGGAGCTGGCACTGTTGAAGGGGACATTGCATTAGGGAGCCATGGATGGGATCAGAAAAACACCCACACTCTGTATATATATATATGTGTGAGCCCTAAAGTCAAACCAATTCTCTCAAAATAACTTCTGATGAAAGACAATTCTACTCAATAGCACATTGCACTCTTAAATTAGAGTGTTCACAGGAAGTGTGTTTTCACGATTCTCACTTTGTCTCCAAAAGGGTGCGAGTGTCTGTTGCCTACACATCCAAGGCTCTGTCGCCTAATGAAGAAATCTGGCTAATCAAGAGACGTATAGCGGTGAGCTGAACGTGTTTTGCTATTTTTCTCATTTCATTTAGTTTAGCTGCATAATGTATGTAAAATGATGAATCGCAGGAAGAGGGGGGAATGTTCAATTAGTGAAAGTGAGATTAAAAAGCTAGAGGAGCTTATGAGAATGTCTGACCTCAAAGCAAACAAAGAAGAAAAAAAACAACATCATAAGTGGATAAGACACTAAATGAAAACATGGAGAAAATGAAATAAAACACAATGTAAAAGAAATGCAGTTCAGTCGGATGCAGTAAAAACAATGAAACTGAAAGTCACAGTTCAATATAATGTACTGGCGGGTATGTGTCTGTGTATATAGTGTATATCAGCAAACTTTCCATGGATTTACAACTTGAAAGGAGAAAGTACATAATTTTGTAATTGATTGCATTCAATTACTAATTTCTGGGTTTGCTTACATGCACAATAATGTCATTTTTGCATAAACAAAGCAATTGTCTCTCAATACATAAACGCTTTTAAAACTGTTAATTGTCATCAAAGATTGATTAAACAAAGTGAAATCTTCAAACAAGCTTATCAAGCCAGTTATCATTCTCAAGGAGAACAAAACATTTTAATTTAACTTGAGTACACAGATCTGTCAGTGTATTCAAATCCACACCAATCACATTCACTCATTTCAGCACTTTGCACTGTTTTGAACATCTGTCTTGAAGTTGTGTGATGCATATGAGCAAACAGACAAGTCTCCAATCAACACCTGTCCTTGATAAATCAACACGTATTGACAGTGGGATTTTTGTTTTTGAGCGTAGAATAACAATTTCTCTGCCAACTGAGACAGATAAAGTACGGCTGTGCATCTCTACCCCCGACTCACTTGCCACATACTGAGACCAAGGCCGGGTCTCAGATACAGTAAAGCTGCGCTTTAAAGTTTTATCTCTCTGTTTTTGTCAATTATTCTCCTTAAAAAAAAAAATTTAAAAAAAAGGACTGTGAGGTCAAAACAGTTTGTTTCAAAAGTGTACTGTACGTGACTAGTTTGATTTTAGATCTGAAGACAGGCCCAGTAGGACATTAAAGACGTTGTTTGGGATTGTGGGTACAATATTTGATTTGCCTTGAAAATGTATCCATCCAATGACACAATCAAAACAGTTCTTACATAAGCATCCTGCTTGTTGCCCTGGCACTGAAATAATATAGGATCTACTTATATGCACAGCACCAATAGTATCCTAAAAGCATCCTAATGCCCACAGTTGCTGGAAATAAATGTACACTTACTTTATATATCTGAACAACTGCGCTTAATATTGTGAGTAAAAGTAAGCCACCTGCATTGATCCATTCAAACTGCAGTACAACTGGATGCCAAATGACCGAGCTGACACAAATCTCTCCACTTAAAGAAGCAGAAACATCAAACCAAAGCATGCCTGAGCCTTCTTAAAAATACCTCATACAATATCTAAGAAACCTTTGAGATTTGAGTGTCTTGAGACTATTGACACGGAGGTGCCATAACATCATCTCACTGGGAACGGCAGCTCCACAGCAAAAGTAAAGGAATGCGACATTAAACCTCTGCAAGCAAGGGTCTTAATTTAGACAATTTTTAATGGCTGTCCAGCCTGTCCCTAACTATGCTCCCTGTGAGTATCCTCAGCTGTCATCCCTGATAACAGTTTGCTTCATAAGCTTCAATTATCCTTACACAGCTTTGTGCAGCAGGCCGACAGTTGTCACCAATTACATTTAACTAATGTATTAGTTGTCAGCAGTTATAAAATTATAACCAGTAGATAACATTTTATCTTAATTAGTACTCTTCTCCACATTTTAGTGGGGCTTCTTTTAATCTGAAGCCATGTATCTACTAACTTGCCTTGTTTAAATAACCTTGTACTAGTTCCAACATTGTAACAGACACATTGATTGGCCTGCACAAGTAGTTCTTGCCTTGGTTGTCATTGCAAATGCTTAATCAATTCAGAAAATATACAGTATGTCACATTATTACATTATTTTCACTATATGTTAATGACAAGGCGGTAAAAGCACTTGTCAAATGCAGCTTTAATTCTTCGGTTTGTTTGTATTAAAGGGATGAGGACAGTTTGTTGCTTTAAAAAGATTAAATTTCTGGAAATAATACCACTACTATGTCACTGTGACAAAGAAAGCATACAATTATAGAAGAAGAAAGCAGAACATTCTGGCTATATATTCACATTCAACAGTTTTAAGTCATCTCCTTAAAAACGACTAATAGAACACCATATAAGCACTAATGGCACTAAAGAACAAATTGCTTTTCTTTTGGCTTGCGATCACAATACAACAGCTCTCCTGCTTCCCTCATTCAGCATGTTGTTAACTTAAATATCAATTGTTCTCACTTAAGCAGCAGTTTTTCTCCACGGTGCTGCTAGACAGCTTGTTAGAGGACTGCAAAACAAGGCAGTGTGTACACAGTTGTTGCCTTGAGTAATGAAAGCTAGAGGTGTCTATTAAAAATCTATTCATTGCATCGCACTGATGTCTGGAAGCACTGCGGCTCATTCAGAACACCAGTCATTGTTGAGTGAAGGTTATCTGAATCAGATGGGATTCAACACAGGTAAACACTCTTACAGTGTTGCCTTTTGGCTTATACTGCTCAGTTTATACTACAGCAGAGAGAGTCCACTGTGGTCTGAACTAGACATGTTAGCATGCACCGAGTGTACTGCCTCGCTGCAATAAGACAAATAAGTAGGAGCTTAGGGGGGATCATCATGATTAAAATATTGTCAGACAAAACTGCCTAAAGAACACTTGAGAAGTTTCGAAGTTAGAGTTGCAGTTACAGTAACTGCAGAGCCAGCATACAAAGTTAAAGTAAAGTAGTTCAAGCCACTTCGAATTTGCCCTTCTTCGATTTAGTGCATCTACAATCAATAAATGAATACAGGAAAAATGAAATGATGTTATAGGGTCATAAAGGAAGACTAAAAG